CGGACTCGAGAGGAAAGCGCATTCTAGAAACGGCTGCGCGGCTTGATCTAATAGTGCTTAATACGGGAAATGCAACCACGTTTAGAAGACCGGGTTGCGAGGAAACCACACCAGACATCACCCTATCAACAGAACGCATAGCTGGCTTAATAAAGAAATGGAGAGTCCTTGAAGATTACACTGGCAGCGATCAGCAGTACACCTCTTTTGAGGTGGACACCGGAACAAACGCCCACCAGTACAGAAAAAATACTGGAGCCCGAAAATGGAACCATAACCCATCTAGCAGCTCCCCTAAAATGCAAGAAAAGTTGTCGAGCACACAATGCTTAATATAACAAGAGCATGTCACAAATCGATGCTCAAAGCTTCCCACAGCAAACATAAAGCGGCAGATAGTAATGAAGAAACTCGGAGTTCGAGCAAAACCACCTGACTTACCCGCTGCCAAAATGGATCATATCATAAGCGCACTCTTCCTCACACACGAAAACAGAATTAGTGATCCAGAACAGACAACAAAACTTCTGCAAATCCCCCAGTTTACCCTCGAAGAGCTGCAACTGGCCACTTTCAAGCTCAAAACTAATAAATCACCCGGCCCGGACGGGATCCCAGCAGAAATCCTTAAAAAAATCGCCGCAGAGCGACGGGCATTACTTCTGAATATGTACAACGCCTGCCTCGAAGCCGGAATATTCCCTGAACCTTGGAAAACACAACGGCTGGTGCTAATCAATAAGGGAAAAGGTGATTTCAACTTACCATCAGCATACCGTCCACTATGTATGCTTGACACAGCGGGAAAACTTTATAAAAGTCTACTTAAACCCAGACTCGAAGCGGCCATCAGCGAAGCCGGAGGACTCTTCCCTAGACAACACGGCTTTAGTCCCGGCAAGTCAACTTTAGGAGCTATAAGATGCATCATTGAAAGCGTAGAAGCCGCACAGCGTAGATGCCATAAATACAAAATAATAGTTTTGCTGGCGGCTCTAGACGTCCGAAACGCCTTCAACAGGGCTAGATGGGCGGACATGATCGACGCTCTTGAAAAAAACTTTAAAATCCCCAACTACCTCAGAGCTGTGGTGTGGAGCTACCTCAGCAATAGATATCTGCTGTACCAAACTAGAGAGGGATCACGACAGATAGCGGTTACGTCAGGAGCTGCACAGGGATCCATTTTAGGCCCAGACTTGTGGAACATCAACTACGACGGCATACTAAAACTCAAAATGCCAGACGAATCGTACCTAATTGGCTACGCGGACGACATTGCAGCAATAATTACAGCCCGAGACACAGAAGATGCGCGAAGAAAGATAAACCAGTTCATGATACGGACACAAACATGGCTTGACTCACACAACCTCCAGCTCGCTACAGAGAAAAGAGAACTACTACTGCTAACAAATAAGCACATATGTACCTCTCGAAATAAGTATGCAAACGATTACGGACACTCTAAGAACACAAAAAGCGGTGAACTATCTAGGCGTAAGACTGGACCCCAGATTAACTTTCTGGGTACAAGTCCAGCACGCCGCAGGAAAAGCAGCGAAAATCACCTCCTAACCCAGCAGACTAATGGCCAATATAGGGGGGCCCAGCCAAGAAAAGAGAAAGCTTCTAATGTCCACGACCATCAGCGTCCTTTTATACGGAGCAGAAATTTTGTCAGATGTGTTAAAAAAGGAAAACCGGCGTAAGGTATTGGCTAGAGCATACTGCACCGCAGCCCTCAGAGTTGCTTCAGCTCACCGAACGGTGTCAGGTGCAGCGTCCGCATGTTTTAAAGGAGGAGGAGTTAACGCCACATACTCTGGAATTGATTTATAAAGCTTTATTGCCAAAAACTAAAGCTTCAGGTGAGACTTGCACAGTAAGCAGTATCCCACGGGTAACCGACAAATGACAACACAAGTGCATCTGTGCAAATGCTGAGTCAACAACACCTTTAAGGACAGCGGCAATGTGACTTAGGTTTAATTTTAAGTTTAAGAAATTATTGTAATCAGTCTAAAGTTGTGACTCAATAAACTCGCGTCCCCGCGCGCGAAAAAAAAGATTTTTTTATGTAAATTAATATAAAACAGTATAGCTTGTATAAGTACATATTTTTAAAAATTTTTCTCGATAATAGATAATGATGCAATTCAGTATTTATTTAATTTGGATTTTTTATACTTCAGCATTATGTTTAATAGTTTTCTTTCACCTGAGGGTTGTTTGCAACACTTAAATCTAATCGATATATGTATATACATATGTATGTGTATATATGTAGAGTTAGATATATGTATATAACTGTATATCAATCAATCAATCAATTCAGTTAATTGTTTGCAAAACGGAAAATGAAAAAACATCAGAAAAACGTGTGTTTTATTTTTTAGTCAAAACCATACTTTAGATGGACCATCATATTAAATTTGACTTGGACTGGTCCATTCAAACTGCGCGCGCAAGCCGAATCCATTTTTTTTTCCAAGAATGGTACCATTTTTATGTTCGTGTAAAGTTTGATCTCCATATGGCAATTAGTATATGTTTGGCAGCTGTTTGTTTACGACGAAAAATTTTTTTACTGAATTTGGTGCTGAGAACTCAGCATTCATTAAACGCATCATTACTAGTGAGGAGAAGTGGGTTCATCAATATGACGTCGAAACTGTCCAACAATTTACGGAATGGTGCTCCGAAGAAATCACGTCAAAATCAAAGTGCGGCTTTCCGTTTTCTTTGATTGCCGTAGAGTGGTTGACCTTAGATTTGTTTCACGAGATCAAACGGTCAAAAAGGAATACTACTTGGCCGTTTTTAGGCATCTTTGTGAAGCAATTTTTCCGTGGTCAACAACCGGACTTGTGGTCAGAAAATTCATGGATTCAGCACGAAAATTCGCCTTTATATTAGGTATATGAGTTGCACGTCCGGAGGCCAAAAAACAGTTGAAACAGCTTCACAAGGTGTGATTACAGCCACAGGACTCCGCTAGGCCGAATTTTTAAAATTACAGAAAAAAATACTGAAGTGTATTGAGTTAAAAGGAGACTACGAGAAATACACCGCAATATTTCCCAAATTTTCACTGTGGGCTACTTCAAATATGTAAGTACATATATTAACTAAAATCTATAGTGAAGTGATCTATAATCACTGATAATTCTCTCGAAATATTATGCGAAAAATTATAGCAATCCTCTAACATAATAACACATTCATGTACATAAAACAATATTTTTATTTTATCTTTTCCATCCACATTTAAGTAAATAAACAACGATGCATTTTCAATTTATACTTCTTTTAATGTGTTAGTTGTTTTTTTTTTTCATTTATTCAGTACTATTCAATAAATTAAATTGTAATTACACTTTCTTTTTAGATACACTTTCTGCTTAAAACTAAATATGTCGTCTGTATTAATCTAATGATGTATACAGATATATATTTAACAACTATAGCACACAATTATTTAAATATTAGAATTAGTGAAAAAAGATGAATTAATCATATTTTTCTAAATAAGAAATAAGAATTGTATTTAATATTTATTCAAATAAAATGCAGCTAGTTATTACAATGTTAGTATATGTATGTATATGAAATACATAATTAAGATTTAATACTAAGATAAAACAACTGTAAACTTTTGATTGGTTATGTAATATCTATGCTAGGGATGTTCGGATGTTCTTATGTTTAACAATGCATTTTTTAAAAGTATTTTAAATGTCGTTTTATTAAAGCGTGTGCGGAAAAATATTGAACTGGATAAAAGATTTCCTGGTGTAACAATGGTATTATTTAATCTCTTCAAAATAAATATTGTTTGTTAATGGAAGTCATCAAATAAAACAAGTAAGGAAGGGCTAAGTTCGGATGTAACCGAACATTTTATACTCTCGCAAAGTCAAATGGTAAACTCGTTTGAGATTTCTTTGTGGATTGGCTGATATTTCCGGTAGAAGGTCAACTATAGGCACTGGGGTCCACATATTTAGTACTTAGGGGCTTGAACAGTTTTGGTTCGATTTAGACAATTTTTGGTCACAAGGTGGCATACTTCAAAACGTATTATTCACGCAAAGTTTTACCCCGATATAATCATTGTTGCTTGATATGCATAGTGGAAAGTGAAAGAATCAGATGAAATTTAAAATGGTGTTATATGGGAGTAGGCGTGGTTGTAGTCCGATTTCGCCCATTTTCGCACTATAACATAGAAATATGAGAAGAATGTTACGTACCGAATTTGGTTGAAATCGGTTAAGCACATCTCAAGATATGGGTTTTCACCTAAAAGTGGGCTGTGCCACGCCCACGGACTAATTTTTAACGTGGTTCCTATAAAGTCATCTCATACCATCCCAGAAATAAAATTTAGTGTCTCTGGAGTGTTTAGTGCTTGATTTATCGCGCTTTTAGTAGTTTTTAACAATACCGTTATATGGGGAGTGGGCGGAGTTGCCACCCGATTTCAACTATTTTCACACTGTGGGTAGAGGTTCTAAAAAAATTTGCTTCCAGTGAACTTTGTTATTATAACATTAGCGGTTTAGGAGATATGCACATTAAACCTATTAGAAGCGGGACCACGCCTACTTTTAAAAAAAATTTTTAACTGCAAATGCCCCTCCCTAATGTGATCCTGTGTACCAAATAACAGTCTTATATCTTATTGCGGAGCTTAGTTATGGTAATTTATTTGTTTTTGATTAATGGCGTTTTGTGGGCGTGGCAGTGGTCCGATTACGCCCATCTGCAATACCAACTGTCTCACGGTACCCAGAAACATGTCTACCAAGTTTCCTAAAGATATCTCAATTTTTACTCAAGTTACAGCTTGCACGGACGGACAGACGGACAGACGGACGGACGGACAGACAGTCATCCGGATTTCAACTCGTCTCTTCATCCTGATCATTTATATATACATAACCCTATATCTAACTCGATTAGTTTTAGGTGATACAAACAACCGTTAGGTGAACAAAACTATTATACTCTGTAGCAACAGGTTGCGAGAGTATAAAAATTGATATCGAGAAACAAGAAAGAATATTAGCTGTACTGCTATACTGTACCGAATTTTTTCTACCTTTTGCAGGAGCATTTCTTATAGCACAAGAGGGTATAAAAATATCTTTATCTTGATTTAGATCAAACAGTTTGTATGGTACCTATACGCAGTTGTAGTCAGATCTGAACAATATATTCGGATACTGTAGCTCTGCCTTGAACTATAAGCTATGCAAAGTTTCGTGAAAATATCTTATCAAATAAAAAAGTTGCCAATAAAAGGACTTAATTCTGACTTTTTTGAGCTATGTCCTGTAGTGATTCAAATTCGGTTCTGGCAAATAAGCAGCTTCTTGGGAAGAAAGGAATGTGTACAAAATTTTAGATCTGTATCTCCAAAATTGAGGGAGTACTTCTCTTATATACACACAGACGGATGAACAGACTAAACTTGAAATCTGTACATCTTCGTATGACCAGTAACTAGCCAAATAATGCGAAATCCCACGCTACAGCCCAATGTTCCCATCTTTTAAATTCAGCTCCTCTGAAATTTCGAATTGCTTTTTGGATACTGAGCACAAAGAGTTTGCGTCCGCTCCTTAGGATCCAAACAACTAATTGTTAAAGAGGATTTATAGTCAATGCTAATAAGTATGGTATATTGTTTTATCTAGTATGTATATATTTGTTTTGAACTATACGTTATTTTTTAAACAAAAGGACAAGGGTTTGTCCGATTTGATCATAAGAATTTGGTATGACTCCCAATTAAAAATCATAAAATTATTAGAACATCCCTAGTGTGTGCATTAACATCTTTGCGCCTCATTATTCGTCAAACCAGTTTTGCTTTCCAGTTAAAATAACATTTTTCAAATATACGAGCGAGTTTCGTGTGTGTTTTGTGTAACGGTATATGTATATTATACTATGTATGTGTTTGTGATTGTTGATTAAATTCTTAAAGATTCACCAATTGTTGTGGCGATGGCGATTTGCGCACCTCCTGTTGTTGTTGTATCAGATTCTGCTGTTGCTGCTGCAAGTCTTTACTCAATCGATAGCTACTCATCACATTGGCACAACTTTGATGGAAATATAAATTCCGTCCGCGAAAGAAGGACTCCGTTGCAAAATCCTTTATACCTGTCTTAAAAAGAAGAACAGACAAATTTTGTGATTGCATTACTTCCGTAAAAAATTAGAGCGAAACATTGATATAGAACACATGTACATAGATATGAATATATAAACATACATATATATGTATGTAGGTGAGTATATAAGAATTTTTATGTGCAAATGGAAATTGTAGTATATACAATATATTAAAGAGACAGCGAGTATTTTAGATATTAGTGCAGCGTTTTTTTATATTTAATCTTTTTTTATCAAGACGGAAGACAGAAACTCAAATTATTCGTACCTTACAAATGAAACATTTGTTTTCATCGTCCGGTTTATTATCCGAACTAAATCCCACCTTTAAGTCCATTTGCGTGTGCGCCGTTGCCATTAAATTTGTATGAGCGCCACAATTGCCACCGCTAGCACCATTACCAACACCGCGGCCACCTCCACTAATACCGCCCATGCTTTGCGCATTATCTGCCTCTGTTTGTTGTTGCTGTTGCTGCTTAGCGCGTAAGTCCTCGAAGGTGCTGTATTTGGAATTATTGTTGTTATTATTATTATTATTAGCAATGTCAATGTTTGGTTCAGTGCTGGTCACTTGCGGCTCCGAACGAGGTCGCTCCTGTTCGACCATGGGCGAGTGATTATCCGAAGTCCTTTAAGGCAAAAACAAAAAAATTCAAATAAATTTAGGAAAAGCAAATAATTTATGTTTAAAAAATTGTGTATGCTCTTAATTGTCTACCTACCGGCTACTAACTACCGTTTCATCGAACTTTCGTTTTTTGATGCTGCAGAGATTCGTCATTTTAATAGAATCATCGTCATCGACAATGACGTCCTCGTCGCTGTCGTTGGCATTGCATGTTTCTATAGCAACATCATTGCCGTTACAATTGACGACGGTCGCAGCACCGCCACTGGAGCGCTCATCAGCGGCGCCACACGAGTCCGCGTTGTAGAAGTGATGGGTTGTCGATGACAGTTCGCTGACATTTTTCACTGTAATTGGTGGTGAGAGTAGGTAAAAATAAATCATATACATATGTACATACATATAGAATCAATATAGAGATATTTTAGAGCTGCAAAATAATCGATGGGACTATCGATAGTATCGATAATTTTATCTTCGTATCATTATCGATAGTTTATTTTGGCTATCGATGATTTATTCCTTAACTAGACTTATCAACAATTTTCATAAATTGCAAAATTTCATTTAATAAATCAACATAAAGATATAGTCTGGTGATACCAAATGTAAAGTCTAATAGCACAAAAGTCATTGACATTCCTCCCTTCCGTACTTACCGCCCGTATCAAACCCAATTCGTCAAAAGTTATGCCCGTAGTTGCAACGCAGAAATCAGTTATTCTCTTGTGTTTTCATTTTACCATTGCTCTATTTGTATACACGATTTTTCACACATTTATTTTTTTTTGTTATAATTTTTCTTAATGTAAAAGCTCAAAACTAAAATCCAACTATTAAAAATAGTCTACCTATTTATAAATAAATGTATTCGACTGTGAGTTTGAGTTATTTTAAGAATATTTCAAATATATTCAAGTTTATTTTTTAATTACTACAAAATATCGAAATTGACAACCCTGCGTTGCAAAAGATTGCACTCTCACTCTCAGCTCATTCGTTTCTACGGAAAAAATCCAATTTTCGCGGATATGAAGCGGACGGTAGAAGCGGTGGTGACTGTTCATTTACATTGCGCTCTAGGTCGTCTCAGCTGACGCGGTCCACGGCTTTGCGTCAGTGACTGTTTGTGCCATAATTTTGGATGACATCCCAACACGTCACGGCCACGGAAACTCCAATACATTGAAGAAACTAACGTACACACACTCATAAGCCCAATGTATAAGAAAGGGATGAACGATCCCACGTTCACAAGAGTTTCAGTTAGAATTGTCAATTTGGCTTTGTGAAACTTTAACAGAAATCTCTTATAGCGCTGTTGGGTAATTATCCGGTAATTCAACCGATAGGTAGCTTGCAGGGATGATTAATATCATCTTTTCATTCGCAAGTAGTAAGTGTTGGATGCGCTAGAAGGAATGTTGCGAAAAATGCGTAGAAAAATAAAAATTGTAAATAAACGCCGTTTATTTAGCACTCCTGATTTTGGAGAATAAAATTATGAAATTGAAACACATTATGTGAACAAACTGTTGTGATCGAGTTTCACAGTATACATACTCGTATGTAGGGTATATACAATACATACTCATACATACACCCATAGACATTAGTCTGCCTGCAGAGTATATAAACGAATATCACTTTAACTAATTTTAATTTTACTAAGTCGGAAAGAATGTTAGATTGCTAATATCTGATAGGAGAACAGCATTAAAAGTCTAAGAGCCAGTGGACGGCAGACTGTATGTATTTTACCAAAGTTGATATTTTACCTAAAGATTCTCCTATACCAAAATTACATGAAATTATGAGCGACTGAGCCCAGCGAAGGTAGTTATGACGTCACTAAGATAATACAGGTACGAAAATTATGAGTGTTTCGAAAGTATTTTAACAAAGTTGCAGTTTGGTCATATTAAAATGTACAATGAATGCTTCGTTCAAACCTAATAGCAGACCATTTTGTTGGTTATTACCCCGTGGCATTTAAAATGATGTTATATGGAAAAGAGGCGTGGTTGTAATCCACGTGGTTCCTATAAATTCATCTCATACCATCCCAGAGATTAAATTTAATGTTATATGGGGAGTGGTCGAGGTTGTGACCCGATTTCACCCATTTTCACACCGTCGATAGAGATGCTAAAAACATTAGGTGCAAGCTGTAACTTGAGTAAAAGTTGAGATATCTGAAATTCCATATGATTTTTTCACTTTCCAGTATGCAAATCAAGCAACAATGATTGTATCAGGGTAAAAGTTTTCGTGAATAATGCGTTTATAGTATGCCACCTTGTGACCAAAAATTGTCTACGTCTAACCACAACCTTTCAAGCCCCTAGGTACTGAATATGTGGTTCCCAGTGCCTATAGTTAACTTTTTACCGAAAATATCGGTCAATGTGTAAGATATATAATTGAAATTCATATACAAAAAAGAAAATAAATAAATGAAACTCTCGATAATAGTATGTCTTTGTGTCAAAAATGGGATGAATCGGATCAATACTTCCTTTAATATAAAATTTTGCCAACACTTGAAGTAATTTCCCGGGCTTTGAACCTTGCAAGTTGCGAATGTATAAAATGTTGGGTTACACTCGAACTTAGAACTTAATTACTTGTATATATATACCTCACTTGTAATATAAAGTTTTCCTAACACCCTTGTTTAATATAAAGTTTTCCCTGCTTTGATCCTTGCAAGTTGCAAGGGTATAAAATGTTCGGTTACACCTGAACTTAGCCCTTCTTTACTTGTTTAGGTATATACTTTTTGATCTCATATTACATTAGTATTAGTTGTATAAAAAATGTGGAAAACGGTTGGCCTCAAGGGCCATCCCTGCAACTTCCCTCTAATTTCATACGCTAACGTTCAAATTTCGCTATTTTCACTGCTTTTGAGCTCTTCGAAATTTTTCGTTTTCGATATATAGCAAGTAAATCAACCGATTTCGACCCGGTTTGCGGCAAACGATGTGTTTCTTCAAGGTTTAGAACTGATTAGTTTTTGGTGTTGATCGGTCAAGTCGTTTGGAAGAAATTCGAAAGAAACGATTTTTTCGAAATTTTTCGTTTTCGATATCTCGCAAGTAAATCAACCGATTTTGACCCGGTTTGCGGCAAACGATGTGTTTTTTCAAGGTTTAGAACTGATTAGTTTTTGGTGTCGATCGGTCAAGTCGTTTGGAAGAAACACGATTTTTCAAAATTTTTATTTTTGAGATTTCTCAAAATCTACTGGTCCGATTGGGTCCAAACTCACACGAAATTCAAGTGCAATGAAACCCTTTGGAATGCCGTTTAGTTTATTGAAATCTGTTGAGCCGTTTAAAAGTTATAAGAGGGTCACATACATCCACACACACACACATACATCCACACATACATACAGACATACGGACATCATCGTAGAAATGTTCGGGGAAGCTTCCTCGACCCTCAAAACGTCGAGATCTGTTGAGAACTCGATTTTTGCAAAATGGGGTGAAACCAATATCTTCCCGATTTTTAGAAAATTTTCAATTTTCTTAGCGGGAAGTTAAAAAAATTACCTTTTTATAACTAAACAAGTAACTATAGCAACAAAGGAGTTTTTATTTTTTTTGTATTTTCCGTCGTTTTTAATGTTTAGTTTTATAAATAAATCCAAAGATTATTTCATAAAAATGAAGTGTACAAAGCCAAGGCCTCTTAATTTAAAGCAGCGAAAAGTAAGTAGGTTTCAAGGGGGGAGACCATCGATACTATCGAAAGTACTTGTTTAATTTATCGAAACTATCAAGTATTCCGGCTATTGATAGTTTTTCAGCTCTAGTATAATTGTTTTGTCTAAAATTTAATTCGTTTTCTGAGAGTTTTGGTTTTATAAATAGGTTAAGATGTAAATTATTTGTGGCTAAACATATGTTTGCAGGAAATATTGACTTTGATTTCAACAAAATACGACTAAACTATGCAATATTTCGATATTGTTAGTTAACAATAGCTTGTGCAGCCCTCAAAATATTAAGTCTATTTCCCAGGATTTGGCCAAGTGTTTGATAACTTTCCTATATTATTGACCCAAAACTAGAACTTTTGCCATTTTACCTCTTTTTCTTCTTCTGACAATTACGTTGGTTATTAGCCTCGTAGAGGACGAATGCTAACGAACGAGTCTTGCTTTGTTCCGTTCTTGTCATCTACGGGGTAATGACAATATAGTCAGCAACGAAGGCCATCTCTCTAATTAAATAAACGAATCTTTCAGGAATATATCCTTAAATATAATTTTCTTTAATTCTCAGCTATTTAGTAGTATTTTATTACTTTAATAGACTTTCAAGCCGATATTGTTTTACCGATCACATTAGGTTAAAAAAATCGCTATTTAATAGGTCGAAATTTTATACGAAGGGAAAATGATTATAATTATAAAATAATTAGACCCTGTAATATATATGCTATATAAATGGCCAGTATGACAAGCTGAGTCGATTTAGCCATGGCCGTCTGACTGTATATACGTGAACTAGTCTCCGTTTTTGAGATATTGATTAGAAACTTTGCACACGTCCTTTTCTTTCCAAGAAGTTGCTCATTTGTCGGAACCGCCAATAACTATTGCATAAAACAGCCATACAAACTGAACGATCAGAATCAAGATCTTGCATGGAAAATTTTATCATTTGGCGAGGTATCTTCACCGGGTTACTGTCGAAGACTATGGTGTAATTGCCAAATAAATTGTTCAGATCGTGTCACTATAAATAGGTGCCATAAGAAACTTTTTACCGGAAAAATTTTCGATCTGATAGACGATGCATCGCTCAATTCTGATTTAAAACTTAATATCTTCATCCTGAGGATGAATTTCGCCATCTGAATACTAAACAACTATAAAAACTCTCGTATATTACAAATCCTTATTTTTTTAAGTCCCGTAACTCGTGAAACTTGCTTACCACTGATATGTCCTTGTTGCGCTGTAATCGTGGGCGCTGAGTGGTGTTGCGCCTGATTCCACGTTTGCGTTATATTACCCCCTCCACTGGTGCTGGTTGCATTCAAATCATCCTCACTACTTCCCGTGTCCTTATTTATTACACAAGCCGTTCTATATAAGATGCCGTCCAGTTTTCCTGGTTGGCTATTGCTACTATGCATATTGCTGCTCAATGTCGTAAGGTTGTTATGATGTCCGTGGCTCATGCTATTCACGCTGAGTTGAGAGTGCGTCGTCAATTCGGAGCCGGAATCGGGCACATCGTCATTACAACTCTCAACGTCGACCGTTTCGATTTCTTCCTGCATTTTGGTATCTTCCTGCAATAAAATTTAAAGCGGAAAGAAAAGAAATACCAACTTAGTACACATTATGTTCTTTAAATGCAAATTTTTTAGTAAAAATAACCACTAATTGCTGTGAACTTTATTAGATAAAGGGCTTTATTTCTAATTTTGCAATATTGTGATTAGTATTGTGGCAAAACCATATGCTCTTACAAACTTATAATCACTGAGGCTTCCTTTAATAAGTATTTTTAGTTGGATGGTCTAGGTTTAGAGGTTTATTTTCGGACTCAAAGTCTATGAAAACTATTCAAGAACGAGAGAAATAGATATTACGATAGCTCCGATCTGTTAGGTTCTCAATATTATTGAAACTAATGCGAGAGAACTTGAGTGATAGAAACTCACCTCGGGTGGCATCTTTCCGGCTTCAATCGCATATTTTCGTTTGCATATCGGGCAGGAATTGCAGAAGAGATTTTCCATGAAGTATAAATCGTTGCCATATTTCCGTTTTCGTCCCTTTATTCTGAGACGATTCTGTCTATTATTGCGTATGCGCTGAAAAGTCTAGAAATAAAGTTGACAATATTAAATATACCGGTAACTTTTTAGGCATGTAGAAATTTTAAGTAACAGAACTTTTGTTCTTAATACATTAGTAACACTACACTCACCTCCCAACGATTATGGCTGGTGCGTATGGCGTTCTCCTGCGCCGGACATGGCGGCGCAAACATATAAGATGCCTGTAAATTCGTACGTTCCATACCCGAGCTCAACTTATAGAGTCGGTCTAGTTCGGTCAGAAAGTGTGAATTCCATTCTTCGGCCGAAATTTTTATACCACAGATTGGGCAAATATCTGGCACATGCCCCGGCGGCAGACTGAGCGCACTCGTTAGACCGCCGCTACTATTGCTGCCACTCGAACTGCCACCGCTGCCAATGCCCACACTGACTCCACCAGCTGTGGTCAAGCCACTGAGACCACTCGCCACACTACGCAAACCGGCACAGCTTACCGGTATGCCGAGACCGCCCATGCCGCCCAAACTCGCCGCGGCCAACAGACCACCATTTGGATGATGGTGATGATGATGTGTGTGATGATGGTGATGGCCGAGATGACTTACTGACGCGGGCGAGGATGTGGTTGACGCCACTGAGGCGGCTACGGCAGCGGCGGCGGCCGCCATGGATGTTGCCGTTGCAGCTGCTGATGACGCTTTGATGCCCACCGTGCCACCGCTACTGCTACTGCTGCTACTGCCACCGCCATTATTGTTGTGTACATCTGCGGTGAGAGACGAATGTGGAAAAAAATCAGTTGGAATCTTTTTTCAGCGCAATGTTTTTTGTTGTGGTTTGTTACAATTGTTGGAAGGAAAATGGGTACGTGAAATTTTGTCATTTGAATAGGTGATGAATTGCGTGAGTTGGTACATTTTTTTGTGGTTTCGTTGCTTGTTTATATGCCACGATGGTGGAACATGTCAAAGGACAGCAAGGAACGTAATGTGTGGGCATTTAATTAAATGTATGTTAAATTGATTTAATTGGCCATTCGACACGTTTGAATAAGTGCAGTTAAGTGGAAAAAAGGAGGTGCAAAGTTATGAAAACATATTTAATAAAATATATTATGAAGCGAAGTTTAAATTCCCCGTGAATGCGCATTCATGGAACATATACGATAAATAACGATAGGAATGCTGAATAATGAATGCCAAAATTTAAAATTAGTGCAGTATGAAGTAAAGTTAACTCTTATTCAGTACTTTGAAGATATTATGGCAACTAACTTTTAAATACTAACTAAACTTAAATAACTTGCATTTTTAAGCACTAGCTGGGTGTTCCTTACAAACCCTTGATTTAAGCTTAATGAATTTATTCTTAAAACTAGCTCTAAAAAGATTTGATCCTTCTATAATAAATACCATATATAGCATTTTTTTTATAAAAACTTTTATTAACAAACGATTGTGATATGATAATTACTTATTTTATAAAAAGAAAGTAAAAATTTTGGAGAATACACGGCATACGGTTTCACTTCGTAGCCTAAATCGAACAATTTGACGGTGGCGACATTGTAGATATGAGCCGGTGCGTTGTCATGTTGAAAGAGCACTTTTTTCGTCGTTAAACGGGAGCGCTTTTTCTGCAATTCGGTAAAATAGAATCTTGTGACCATTTTGCTCATCTACAGATGACTACAGTTGGTGGACATCTTACCTTGTGAAACCGGAGAACCTTGGCATCATTTAACCGGTCAATAGGGCACTTTTTGTCTTTTTAAGAGCACGTCTGCTGTTCGACTGCACTTTGATCTCTGGTATGCACCAGTGGATCCATGTTTCGTCGGTGGTTATGTAACGACGCGGAAACTTCTTTGGACTTCGCTTAGACAGCAAAATGCTGCAACTTTCGCATGCCCAATATTTTAGGCAGAATATGGGTCACGCGGAGTTTGAGATTCCTATTTTACGTTATTGACATGTACAAAGTTTCTAAGCGTTCGGTTAAATGTAATTAGCAGAGAGAGATTTTTTTTATTGCATGTATATATTTTTATTACGAAAAACTGAAATATATACCATAGCAAATATCAATGAAGAAATAATACCGATAATGTTAATATACCTATTATAATAGTTTTCTTTTTAGGACTAAACGACTTTATTCAAAAGATATACATATTTATTCAAAATATGTATAAATATTATAACATAATAGGGAATTTTTGATTTTTTCTTTTTCTCCTATCTACCAACAATCTGAGTTCGTTACTCCAACTATGATACAACATGGTGAGTGTCGTAATCTTGTATGTGAACCTAGCAAATGAGTAAATATCCTATTTTATTAATTCATGGGTGAAATTCAAACTCAATCACGCTTCCAAATTCGACTTTGAGAAAATCTTAAAGCCTTGTTAGCTCTAAAGTATTAAATAAAAATTATTTTATGTTATTTTTATTAAAGAGTTTATACCGCATACAACCTCATTTAATTGTGGTTTAAAAATAGAAACAGCTGAACTAGCTGTAAACTGCCTTACTAAGCACCCAATTATGTATATCTAGTCTGTATTTTAGGCTTTGTAGTGTAATCTTGCATGAACCATAATAATAAAAACAAAAAACAAATATATTTTGTGGATGTGTTTTTCTCATCGTTTAACTAACTTGATACGAGAGCGCTTTATTGCAGTTAACGTCAGGGTTGCAAAAACATTTTATTCTAATTCAAAAGCTCGAAATGACACAGTATCAAGTAGAAAACAGTAAATAACGGTGCTTATTATTTCATATTTATGTGAGTGTGACCAAACCTATTTTATACAAAAAGTTAATTAATTTTAATTTTTATTTTCCAAACGGTTCAACTGTTATGAACAGTTACATTCGGAATCGTTGGTTGCCCTTAACAGCGACATTTTGTTTTGCGGTTTTCAGCTCAGAAAAGCATAACTTTGCTTGTGACAGTTGACACTTTTTTGTGGGTGTTAAAATTATTAAAATAAATCGCCGTTTTGGTGTAAACAAACAAATCATAATCTCGTAGTATTTTCGTATATTGAAATGTAATGCAACAAATTTAAATAGTAAAAGTTAACTAAAACAAGTAAGAAAGATCTAAGATCGGGTGTAACCGAACATTTTATACTCTCGCAACTTGTAAGGATCAAAGCCCGGGAAATTGCAATACTTCAGGGGTTGGCAAAATTTTATATTAAAGGAAGTATTGATCCGACTCAACCCATTTTTGACACAAAGACATACTATTATCGAGAGTTTATATTCATTCATTTATTTATTTTATTATACATATGAATTTAAATTATAAGTATATCTTACACAGTGACTGATATTTTCAGTAAAAAGTCAACTATAGGCACTGCGGTCCACATATTTAGTACTTAGGGGCTTGAACAGTTTTGGTTCGATTTAGACAACTTTTGGTCACAAGATGGCACACTTTAAACGCATTATTCACGCAAAGGCTTACCCCGATACAATCATTGTTGCTTGATTTGCATAGTGGAAAGTGAAGGAATCAGATGGAATTTAAAATGTTGTTATATGAGAAAGAGGCGTGGTTGTAATCCGATTTCGCCCATTATTCGCACTATAACATAGAAATATGAGAATTATGTTATGTGCCGAAGTTGGTTGTGACACGCCCACTGTCTAATTTTGAACGCGGTTCCTAAAAAGTTATCTCGTACCATCCCAGAGATAAAATTTAATGTCTCTGACGTGTCTCGTGCTTGATTTATCGCGCTTTTATTAGTTTTTAACTGTACCTATGGGCAGAGGGCGGGGTTGTCACCTAAAAAATCTTTCTCTCAGTAAATTTTGTTATTATAGCTTGGCGGTTGAGATATGCACATTAAATCTATTAGGGGCGGGACCACTCCCACTTATTAAAAAAAAATTAAACTGCAGATGCCCCTCCCTAATGTGATCCTGTATAACAAATAACAGTCTTGTATCTTATTGTGGAGCTTAGTTATGGCAATTTATTTGTTATACCTTGAACAGGGTATATTAATTTTGCCACGAAGTTTGTAACACCCAGAAGGAAACGTCGGAGACCATATAAAGTATATATATAAATGATCACCGTGACGAGCTGAGTTGATTTAGCCATGTCCGTCTGTCTGTCCGTCCATCTGTATATACGCGAACTAGTCCCTCAGTTTTTGAGATATCGATCTGAAATTTTGCACCTGTCCTTTTCTCACAAAGAAGCTGCTCATTTGTCGGAACCGCCGATATCGGATCACTATAGCATATAGCTGCCATGTAAACTGAACGATCGGAATCAAGTGCTTGCATGGAAAACTCTTTCATTTGACGAGGTATGTTCGCAATATTTGGCATGAGTTTTTGCTAGAAGAAGTAATGCAATCTCCGAAGAAATTGTTCAGATCGGATCACTATAGCATATATCTGCCATACAAACTGAACGATCGGAATCAAGTGCTTGCATGGAAAACTTTTTCATTCGACGAGATATGTTCACAATATTTGGCATAAGTTTTTGCTAGAAGAAGTAATGCAATCTCCAAAGAAATTTTTCACATCGGATTACTATAGCATATAGCTGCCATATAAACGGAACGATCGGAATCAAGTTCTTGCATGGAAAAATTGTTCATTCGATAAAATATGTTCACGAAATCTGGCATTGATTTCTCTCAATGGCATATAGCTGCCATACAAACTGACAATCTAAATAAAGTTCTTATATGAAAAAAATTGTTTATGACAAGTTATCTTCACGAAATATGGCATGGATGATGATTGTCCAAGATATCGCTACAATTTTCGAACGAATTGTTCATATCAGACCACTATATTAAACAGCTATAACTGACCGATCAAAATAAATTTTTGTATGGAAGTTTTTAGTATGGATTATTGCTTAAGATGTGACTTCAATCTTCGAACGAATTGTTAAGATCGGACCACTATAGCATACAGCTGTCAGATTTAACCACTTTACAAATAATATATTATAAACAAATCAGATTAATTAATTATTTATACTGTCCAATTTGAGCTTTCAATAAAAATTATCTTATATCTGCCAAAAACTGTTTTGCTTGTGCCAAAAGTAA